AGAAGAAAGACAAAGGATATCAGATTTAAGGTAGAATGCGTGAAAAATGTTTCGAAAAACATATATTTAACATAACTTTTTTTCCAGTTCCTTTTCGGTGAAATATGTGGTATATATAAAATTAAAGGACTTCATAGGAGAAAATTTTAAAACCAAGTTTCATCTAAATTGGTACATTCGTTTAGGCAATCTTGATAGAAAAGTAGTTTTCGGTGATGTATGCTATACACAGAAATTTAAAGGGCTTTGAGGAAAATACTTTGGCCAGTTTCGTTAAAAAAAGTACATTTGTTTACAGTTCTACAGCGACACAGGTTTTTCGATAACCATCTTGAAAGAAAAAGGCATTTGGTAAAGCAGACTTCTGAGGATCATCCTCGGGTGATCTTTGACATTTATGCCGATTCTCAAAACATTACCTTTTGAGAAAAGTAGACGTACAGCGGTCGGCGTACAGACGGATTTTTTTAATTCGGTTTTCAGATTATACGTAAAACCTCAAAGTTTGAGCGGGGTTAACTTTTTTTTTTCTTGGTTGATTACAAAGGTTGATTCATTTGATACTTCATTTACCAAAATCGCTTATAACAACAGGTAAAAAGACCATCGGTTCCCGGATAGAAACAAAATGGGTAGAACTATGTTATTGGGTCTCCCAAATACTCACTAGACACGGGGGCTTCCGAGCAAGGCTTTTTCAATTTGGAAAGAATATCGACCCCTTGTGCTCCACTTGCGGAGTTCCAGAGACTGCCGAGCACATTGTCGTAGTATGTACTGCCTATGAGGAGAACAAAACTGCTGAGGGAAACCGGTCTCTACGTTTTGAATGAGAGAGATTCCCCTCAGCTTATGAGTGAAGAAAACTATCTTCACTTCAAAGATTTTATTTCAAATTGGAAATCCCAACTCATTTCTCTTTGGGATGAAGAGGAGGTGCACCGCCTGGAAGGCCGCCGGATGGAGGAGCAGAAGAAGACTGTGCCCAAACTTGAAGAAATGCAATCGAAATATGGACCCAGTTTATAAATATTGTTTTTCTAGCAGCAGTATGTTGTTACGCAGAAACGCTTAACATCTCACTGCTGCTAAAACCGGCATTGGCTATCAGGCACGGCAGGGATGTCAATAAATAAAAATAAATAGATAAAAAGATTTATACTAGCATATTATGTGTAGGAAGTAAAAACATATTAAAATACATTTCTAAGAAGAAATTTTCTAATGAAATTTTAAAAATCTCGTTCTAGTTAAAAAAAATGTTTTATTCATTAAAGATCTTGCTTATCTTGTATTTCCTTACTGCTAAAAAAGGAGAAAAGAAAACAGAAGTAAGATTGTCGTCTTGCTTCCTTGCAAGCCTCTCTAAAAATGTATTTTCTTTAAGATAAGCCTTAGTATTTGTTTTTCATGCTTTACTTTCCTTTCTTTATATTAAAGGGATTTCATTTATTGTTAGAAGGAAGCCTCCTTCAAAGAAATATTTACTTTGTCTTCTATAAGGACTATATTATCTTAATCTGTAACTGAATCAGAACCAACCTTTTTCTGCCAGCCACAATTGCATATTTATATTCTTCACGAACAGTTGACTCCCTATCCCTAATTGAGTTAGAATATCTAATATGCTTTTAAAGTTTTTTATTTAAGTTTAATTTTTATCACAACAGAGGTGGTGCGATTTCCAACGCATTTATATTTTGACTCAAAGAGTTTATACTTTGACTTTAAAATAATAGAATCAAGAATATGGCCAATATTTTAATTTTTTTATTTGTAGTTCTCCACGATTTTCAATGTTATTATATATTAATCGGTGAAATGTAGATGAAATTGAAAAATAATATAGATGCTTCCAGTAAAGTAAACTTGTGAACTCTTAATATTAAATAATAAGTCAGATTCGGTTTTTAGACTCGTTTAAACACTCTAACAACCACCTTTTATAGAAATGAAAATATATAATTTTTTAAATAAAAATTTGTGGACTTGCCCATTTCCAGGATTGGTTTCCTGCCGTTAATAATGTATAACTAAAGCTATACATCATCAGGATTTCCCCATCATCAAATTCAATGTTACTAGAACAGTTTAAAAATTGAATAACTCCTTTTAAAATCATATTAATGACTTATAGATTATATGCCTTTATAAGACAGAAATAAAAATTAAAACATTCTTTTCCAAATTTTGTTTTTTCTTTTAATTAAATAAATTATTTTGCCCACATATACATAATTTGTTTTGTTTTTTTATTGATATTGTTTTCAGAATTTTAAATCACCAATCATAAATTATGAAATGAAGAAAAAATAAAAAAATGTAATCTTGTCGGAATTTATACTAATCTAAATATAGAGTCAGAATTGAATGATTCGAAAGAAAAGTTCTACGTAAGATAACAGGACCTATATGGGACCAGAACCTTGACACATGGAGGAGAAGGGACAATAAGGAACTGCTGAAAGAAACGGGTCAGTCAATATCTCATGACATGAAGGCAAGAAAGTTAAGATGGTCTGGGCATGTAGCTCGTAGCAATCTATCGGGTCGGCTTTACACGGCAATGAATGCCGGAGTAGTAGGTAAGAGACCACGCGTGAGGCAAAAAACCAGATGGATAGATAGGAAATACAAAGATACTGAGCTTCATGTCACAAACTGAAAAGCAGTAGGCCAAGATAGGCAGAGGTGGAGAAGGCTGGTTCAAGCGGCCAAGAACCCCGTATGCCAGAAATGTATATATATATATATATATATATATATATATATATATATATATATTATATATATATATATATATATATATATATATATATATATATATATATAATATTAATATATAAGAGAGAAGAAAATAAATATATTTTCCTAGGTTATGTTCCTAGGTTATGTTGAGGTAGTTTGTTTTCCCAATACCACTTGAGAAGAATTGCCGAAGACCACTACTCTATACCGCAAGAATAAGGGTACTCTAGAAGCATAGGTCGGGAGGAATGGATTGCCGACAATAAAAGCTCGGAAACTGCAAGCTAACGACTATTGCCACCAGTAAATCTCTAAGTACTAGATCCGTTTATTGAACTGCTAGAGAAAGAGGGATGCTACTATCAATCATTGTCATTCGTTAATTTCATGGTCATTAAATATTCAATGAATATTCAAATGAAAAAAACGACCAAATCAATTGAAATAGGAAAGTTTTTATTACGGTGTGTACTGGAGCGACCGATGAGTATACATGTATTTAACCTTATATCAACCAGTTATTTAGAATGAAAATAAAACTAGGAAAGTATGATGAGGTGATGAAAACCCGAAAATTGTAGTTGAAAGTTTTGTAAAATGAAACTGTTAGTTGTTGTTGTTGTGTAGTAAAGGCGTCGGTCATCAACGCGGTTAGTTAAAATTCTTTATTATTATATCTCCTAGTTGTGAATAATAGGAATAAAATAAAATATTTAAAAAGCACGTTAAGGTTAAATTTGTTGACGTTTATTTATGTAAAGCTTATTTATTTAAAGTTTATTTATATTTATATTTTATTTTATGCAATTTGCACCTGCGCTGCTGCGCATCTAGAAAATTTGTTGTATTTTTATTTTCTTTGTGTAATTGCTTGATTTTTTTTATGTTGATGTTTTTATTGATTTAGTAGGTCTCTTGGCCATTTTCTTCTTAATCTTCGTTGCTCAGGTAACAGGAGGCAGGAGATAGAAAGAACCAGAGGATTGGAGTGATTTTCAGTTGAAGAATGAAATGTAGTGTATTTGTCGTGGATGTAGGATTTTACTGTTGGGGTGTTTAAGTCGTTATGTATGGTAGTGTTTGAAATGTACCAAGGTGCGTTAACAATTTTTCGTAAAATTTTTGATTGTGCTGTTTGTATTTTGTTTATGTGTGTTTGTTTTGCTGAACCCCAAAGTTCTGCCCCATATGTCCATATTGGTCTCAGTAAGGTGTTGTAAATAAGTCGCTTGTTTCGTAAGTTAAGTGAAGATTTGTAGTCCAGAAGATGTGAAAGTTGGCTATATCGTCTGGTAAGTTCTTGTCTTTTTAATTTCGTATGTATATTCCAAGTAAGTGTTTTGTCTAAGTAGAGTCCAAGGTACCGTACATATTTCTTTGAAGGCACTGGATTATTGACAATCGTTATGGTTGGACATGAGGCTTTCCTAAGAGAGAAACTAATGTGGGTGGATTTTGTACTATTAATTTTGATTCTCCTGTTTTCAAACCACTTTTCAAGATCATGAAAATGGTTTTGTAGGGCAATTGATGCGATAGTAGGATTTTTGTGTGAACTTAGAATAGCAGTGTCGTCAGCGAAGCAATAAATGGTGGTATTAGGGTGCTCAGGGATTAGAGTTAAAGTTAAAGTTAAATTTGATTTTTAAAGTTAAATTTAAAGTTAGATTTGAAGTTAGCACGTTAGGTAATAATTAAAAATAAATAATAAAAAAATATTAACAAATAAATTAATAAAAAGATATTTAAATAAAAAATAATTAAAAGAAGGTAAAAGGAAAAAAAGAGGCGGGGAGTGTTGTTTGAGGGGTTAAGAGATTTTTAAAAATTCCTTCTTCGAATAAAACATATGATTTTACTCAAGATTTTTTCATCATTTCTCAAAGCAGCCGATGTATTTCCTGGTGATCCTCTTTTCTTTAATCTCTGATGTAAAATGCACAACTCTCGAAGATATGGACCACTGTCATTCTCTCTCGCTATTAGTTGGATAATGCTCATTGATTTTAATTTCCTTTTTCATAAAAAATAAACTATTAATGCCAATATATAATTCAGCGGTGTTTTTAATGTTAAGAATGTTAGATTATAATTGAAATAATTTAACCACACAAACTGTCTTTAAAATACACGAGTGTTTCAATTGACTTATCAAATCCATACAACTTATTGTCATATTGTATCGATAAATCTTGCCTCACGATACCCGTTGTCCATATTGTGACAGAATATTACATTACTGAATAAAATAGGTTTTGATTTTTAAAGTTAATTCTTTTCCATGAACACATGTAAAATTCAATGATAGTGTTTATTCAAAAAAATCTATTAAGTTAGTAAGTTTGAATTTCATGTCATTTTTGAAGTTATTCCAACTTTTCTGAGAAATGAACAGTTTTCTTAGTGTTGCTCCATTAATCTTGAAGAATTGTTGTCTATAATACGAGACAGAAATTTAGTGATAACTATTCCAGCATGCAGAACTCATTATTAAATAGATGCTGAGGTCTCATTAAAAACAATTTGGTAAAAATAGTATGGTTTTCAAAATTTGACTTTTCTCCCATATCTGTTTCGAATATCATCTATCTATTGATTAATCTCTATGGCAACAGACTGCTACTCTTATCATTCATATGCTAAAATAATAAGAAAATTTTATTTGAAATTATTGATATTTAATACCATTATTTTTAATTTTTAATTTTGTTGCTTTATTTTAGTATTTAGCAAAATAGTCACAAAAATTTGTACATAACTTTATTTTATAATTTATTTAAAATAAATAAATACATTTTTAATAAACATTTCAACAGTAAGGTTATCTTGGTTGCTGTTTTAAAAATATGGATGAGAATGAAAAGAGTGAAAATATCGTTCATAGAAGGAACGTCACACGAAGCAATGGAGGTGACTTGTCCGGAACTGAGGATAAACCAGCTTCTGCTGAAGAAGAAGTCCAGGATGAGGATAATAGCAAGAGAAGACTAACGTTGATGGAAGAAGTGTTCCTGCTAGGACTCAAGGACAAAGAGGGCTATACTTCATTTTGGAACGGTTCTCTCTGCTTTGGACTCAGAGGTTGTATTTTAGTTGAGCTAAGTATTCGTGGAAGGATCAAGTTAGAAGAAGCTGGAGTAAAGAGGAAATCACTCCTTCGTCGGAAAGTTTTGATCGTGAACAGCACACCAACCGGCGAATGTCTTCTAGACGAGGCGTTGAAACACATCAGGCAGACACAGCCACCGGAGAATGTAGGCTCCTGGATAGCTTACCTCAGCGGCGACTCCTGGAACCTGATGAAGCGAAGATACCACATGAGGTACGTTCGAGAAAGAATAGCCAAGGGTCTGGTTGAGAAGGGTGTCCTTTCTACAGAGAAGATGAACTTCTTTGTATTTGACGTAACTACACATCCCCTACTGGACTCGGATACCAAGCTTCAGATAGTCAAAAAGGTTCAAGATGGACTCCTCTCGAGGTGGACTGGTGATCTTTCGAGAATGGATAAAAGACAACTTGCGCTACTATTACTCGCTCAAGTGTCAGAAGTCATAGAGAACGCCTTTGATTCCCTCAACTCTGATGATTTTGTTTCTGCTAACAAAAGGGTCAGTGAGCTTGCTAATTTGGACTTGGAAAACGAGGCTGCTAAAGAAAATTCGTTAGATATTGTGTGGGCTGTGGTTGATTATCTTTCCAGGTAACTTTTATTTTATAGTTTGATTTCATAACCTATTGGATGGAGATATTTAATCTATGTGCGTTTAACAGTGTGGATTCTGAGAAATAAGCTAGAAAGATTCTAAATGCGCTACTGCTTCTCTGGCGATGTACCACTGGAATCGCTAATAGAAAACGTTCTTAAGTGTTTACTGGCAGGTGATCATTGAATGAAAGTGCATAAATTATCAAGCGGAACGATCCAAAGTTTCAAAAGAAAACTAAAATGAATTTTGTTGGAAGAAATAAACGCCTAAAAACGTTCAAGTTGCAATTGAATTATATTTATTAAAATATAGATAAATATAAGATGATACGGATTTATTGATTTCACTTAAAATGTTTAAAAGTAAAAGAAGGTTAGATTCTTTAGATATTATATCACGGGTGTCGATTATTTAGATGACAATAAACGATTATCGATGGGTCATTACCATTAAAATAGTTATTAATTTAGTGAAGGGTGAAAATATAACAATTCATTGCCTATTGCTGCTCCAACATTAAAGCACACTCAATAGGGTTTGTAGATGCCATTTCTTACATGTAAGGTTAGAGTCATTCTATTACATATGTAATTTAGTGACATATTTATGTAATGTATCTCAATGAATGAAATTCACAATTGCTGCATGTAAATGATTTTCCTCACTACAAAAGTTAAGAAAACTGTTCTTTATGCGGGATGGTAAAATTTTGTTTGTCTTCTGAATCGAATATTTCCACTCGTGTTTGTTTAATGGCGCCTAGAACGATTTAAGACATAAAAGAACAAAATTTGTTCCGAATCTGTCTGAAGTAGTCAACATTGTTTGTTTTTCCAAAATTGATTATTGTTTCCCTCCATGAAGCTCCTATTAGAATCATCAATAGCAGCTATTATGTATATTGGCGTACGACCATCTCATCGAACCAAATAAATTTTATCTTCGAGGGTGCAAGTTTGCTGATGATGTAAGGACCATAATGGATCTACGAGCATGTAGCAAAACATTTGTGAAAATTAGTTATTAGTTTTTTTTTAATTCATTAAAATGCGAGAATTTTAATTCAAGATCCCGCACTTTAGTTTAATTACCTAATTAATTAATTTATACATTTTTACTCATTTCGAATGTTATACTTAAAGCCGACATTTCATACACAATTAACAAATCCATCGGCAACGAATTCAGATATATATATATATTATTGAATACTTAATAGTTGACCGTTGTATTATTGAGGAAGGAGATGGTCCGGGGTGATGTTTGAAGCAGTTAAGAATGGTCTTCTAAACAGGCGTGATGTGGAAAAAAAATTAAGATGGCTGTTTTCAGATCGACATTTCTTCCCATTTTAACGTACTCTTCAGAATTATGGGTGGTGACAAAGAAACATAAATGAAGGATACAAACGTCACAAAGATGCGATTCCGCCGAAAGATTGAGGAGAAAACGAGAAAAGACCGAGTACGCAACACCACCACCAGGTCAAACCTCGATATTAAGCCGGCCAATGATGTGATTGAAGAGAATCGACTGAGATGGCTAGGACATCTTCTGCGGATGGAACCAAACAGAATAGCTAGCGAAGCCTATCGAGCTAAAGTAGAGGGCAAGAGAGGAAGAGGACGGCCTAGAAGGAAATGGGAAGATAAGGTGAAGAGCAACTTCCAGAGAAGAGGACTTCAATGGAATGATAGAAGTCTTCTTGTGGAAGACCGGCAGAGCTGGAGAAGGCTCTGTAAATTTCCTCCTCACACTGCTTAATGCGGTTTAAGAGGATGGATTATGATGATGATATAAATATATATTTTATTGAATACTAAATAGTTGGCCGTTGTATTATTAAGGAAGGAGATGATCCGGGGTGGCGGTGATAAATAGACTAAATAGTGGCAAAACTATTTTATTAAAAGCCAACGTTTCGATCCGCCTTTGCAGGTCTTCTTCAGGCAGCTTAAAGAACTTGAGTTCTAAGTGAAACTTCTTGCTGAACACACCTCCCTGAAGAAGACTTCAATAGTCGGGTAATAAAATAGTTTTGCCACCATTTAGTCTATGACCGGACCATTTCTTTACTTATATATTTTATTATAGATATTTAGTTGTATTAAATTGTGTCACAACTATGGAAATTAGTGATATTTGTAAGAGAGTGCGTTCACAACATAGGAACAATAGATACAAATAAATTTAATGAAATAAAACCAAAATAATAATAATAATAAATATATACATATGCATACAATATATGGTATATTCTAATTATTAAAATAGTATTTTATTCCTTACGCCTACGTTTCGACCCACTTTGTAGGTCTTCATCAGGGCATGGGTATCAGCTACTGCAGTAATGTAAAATCTACCAACTGCTTTCTGCAGTAGCTGATACCACACCTTGATGAAGATCTACAAAGTGCGTCGAAACGTCGGCATAACGAATAAAATACTATTTTAATAATTTAATATTTACTTAACCTCACCCCCCGACCAACTCCTTCCCCAAAATAAATATATATAGTGATACTTAAACTAAACCAGATAAAAACTTAAATATATGCATAGTTATATTTAGTAGAATGAAGAAATTCATTGAGAGCAACTCCGCATCAAGCTTTTCTCCTGACATGTAGAGCGAAAATCAGGACTCTAAAAGATCATTGGACCTCTTAAAGGATCGCTTCTCTCTTAGCCCCGTCACCGGTAGTAATGACCAGTTGAGGCTGAGTAAAGGCGCTTCAGATAAACATAAATTCAAATTTTTAAGTATATTTTTTTGTTTAGAAAAAAAAATTATCGTAATAACGAAATGATTTTAAAAACAGAATTAAATAAAAAAAAAAAAACTGCTAGTCTTAAGTATAATTATCAGCATTTATAAGGAAATTTAATCGAACAATAATTATAGGCATTTATTTATACCAACAAATAGAACGTAATAGTTTACGGAAAATTGGATTTAGGTAAATTATGGATCACTACTGCTTAATCCTAACTAAGAATTTAATACATCGAAAGGATACATGTGCTGATAAGGCTGCAATATTTGCCATCTTGTATAAAATCTAACTCCTAAGGCTTTAAATGGAATATCGAAGAGAGATATTTCGCTAGTTCTAAAATGGAAATTAAACTCTTAGCTTTCCTACTCTTCATAGGCCTCGCTTCAGCCGGTAAAATTGGCTATTTCTCTAAAAGTGAAGAATTGACAGATTCTACAAATGATTCAGGTAGTAGCTCTAGTTCGTCTGAAGAGAATGATTCCGCCAAGGAAGGTAAATATTTTTCAACACTATTATTATATAATTTATAATAAATTTGGTAATTGGGAAGCTTAGCTAACTATAATTTTATTTATTTATTTTTTGCGGACATCGAGAATTCATAATATTGAAATATCTTGAAATAATTCAATGTCAAATTTTAGAGTTGACTTAAAATTGATGCCGTGTGTTTGAATAAAAAAATTTATATTAGGTTAAATATATTTTATGTAATACGAGCTGTAGTAATTAAATAACGAGGACTGCTGATGTAAAATATTTTATTATTATTTCATACGTATTTATTTATTATCTTCTTTAATATGTACTCTTCATCTATTCTTACAAAGCTCCATGTGATTCTACCATGATAATAGTTAAATATTGCAGGCGAAAATTTTCATATATATATATATATATATATATATATATATATATATATATATATATATATATATATATATATATATATATATATATATACATATATAATTAAATAAAAATTTTCAAAGCATCAGTCTTACAAGATCGTTCTCGTTTTGTCATTAATTGGTCGATTAGTGTTCAATATATAACTGACCGTTATATTTGATCCTTAGCTTCAAATAAATTTATTATTATTGTACATTTCGTGGACTCAAAGAGTGATTATTTTATTGAATGTAAGAAGGAAGTGGGAAAATATAGTAAAATGAATTTAATAGAAATAAAAATATTCTAAAAGATTTATATTCCGTTTCAATGATTTTTTTATATATATCACCAATTATAAAATGCAAGAACATAAAAAAAAACACATTAAAAATCATAAAATAATTGTAAATATTGAACTTCATACTATAATTTTCGAAATTACTCCCTACGATATCTTTGAAGAGAATTAAAACAAGTGCGAAAGATAAAACATATTTCATGAAGTAGAAATACAGAGAAATTGAATATCTTGAAACTCTACAAGACAAGACTCGTAAGTTGCTCAAAGCGAGTAACAATGACGTATTATAGTGGTTTGTGTTGTAATGGAATTCACCATCATAATCATCGCTGGCTAATCTCAACTAAGAACTTTATCTTGGATCAAAAGGATTAACATTATTCTGATAAAAGCTTATGTGGTAGTATACATTGCTTATTTTATTTATTTATATGAATAATTAAAAAATAACGTTATGGATAAAATATCAAAAAATACGTTGTATGTTTACCACCAACAATTTAAATAGAAAAATATGGATTCGGATATTTGTAAATAAAATTAATTATCCTTTTCCTCGCAGATAACAATTCAGGCAGTAAAATAGAAGTCTTTGTAAATGGAATAGACCTTATGGAGGCGTCTGATGAATCTAATTCCAGCATGGAAGGTAATTATTTATAAAACATTAGAAGTTATAACTACCTAAAACAATTATTTCTTAGTTTAAGGTAATATATTTTGATTTTACTGTCCACTATAATAAATAATTCATAATTTTTATTATTCATAAAATAAACATTCACTTCTTAAATATTAGCATTTGATATCAACATATTACTAAAATATAAAAGTGAATAGTGTTTTCAAATATTAAATACTTAAAAGATCATACATGCATATGTATAATTTAATGCGTATATAATTATACGGGTGTATATATAATATATAATGTATAACACATAACATAACGTGTTTGTGAGTGTGTGAGAAATATTTATGTGTAATGTTATGTTCCATGAAATGAGAGTATTGTAATCCCAATAGACTTCTTTGATTCAAATTGCTACACTACGTTATACTGCTAAATATATAGCTTAATTCTTTGATAAAGTATATCGATGGTTGATTGCAAAAAGTCATCAAGTGACATTTTTTAACCTTGAATAGCTAAGAACTTTGAAGAATTTTCTCTATATGAAATCAGGAGACTGTGCGCTTATTATAACCATATTTGATACACAAAGCGGTTTATGTCCAGTTTACACTAACAGTGTTTTTGTATCGATATTTTATTTCAAAATTTACAAAAATATATTTCAAAGTTAATGTACATCAAAAATTCACTAAATGATTTTTTAAATGTAAACCGACAATATGCATGTTTTTTAATTGAAAGGGAAACCAACAAGGAATAAGTAATTTTAATATTCAGTTTGCACACAGAGCATGTAGGTAAATATTATACTACAGTTTTTTACAATCGTCATTTAACATTAAAAAACAAGTAACAATTAATTTTATAACACTCGATGACAGTCTTACTGATAAGAACATCATCTTTGATGGTTTAGACCCTAAGGATATCACACGTTCTGATATGTTTAAATTTTCTTCAACAAGTTTTTTTAATTTTGTAATATATTTGAATGATTGTAATTGATTTTATTTTATTGTATTTAATACTACAACACTTTTTTTAAACTTTATTGATAAATAAATTATTTATTGGTAAATACATTTATGGAAAGCTGATTAAAAGTATTTCTTTTATATAATTTGGAAGCACAATATGATTTCTTTAAATTTAAAATAAAATAAATTGAATCGATGATACTGCTACAAATTATTGTTAATTTGATATCGTGATGCCTGCATCTAAGATGTTTATTTTCATTACTTTTTTTTTTTTTTAAGATAATTTTGATTCTATTTTATTAATTTATTTTTATTCTATTTTACTATTATTTATATTTTCTTCCTTCACTATGATATTTTATTTTGTTCTTTTATAGCTTTATATTATTTGAAATTACCTTTTTTTTTTTTAATTAGTAAATGTGGTGTGAATGTGCTCTCAGAACTCTATTATAAATGTCCTTATTGAGATAGATTGTAATATTTATCAATAAACAAATAATCCATTCTAATTTGATAACAAATAGATAACCAACTTTACCTAATCTAATTTTAATTACGAATAGTATGCGAATCCCTTACGTATTGAAACATAAATATTTCTTAAACAAATATTTATTTTTCATAATCCTGGATATTCATAAATCAATTTATCTTATCTTTTGGATATCGTAAATTCTTAGTTGGTAAAACATCTTTTTTAACCCATACTTTTTTGACATGTGATGAAATATTACAAAAACTATTTTATTTTTAAATTGAAATAAAAACTGTATAATTAGTCTTTTCAAAAAGAATAAAAACCTATATTTAATATCATGAGCTATCAGTTTAACCAATAATTAATAATTTTAAAATACCCAAGATTACATGAAGCAAAGAAACAAGGGATAAACATAAATTTAATATTTATCTTATTTTAAGTGATTGTTGTTTTGATGTCTAAACTTTTATTTTAATGTACCGTGAAATATTCGTCTGTCATAAAAAAGATAAAAAAGCGTATAATACCTATTATAGTTTATTTTGTTTATCTAAACTAATATCTATCTAAACCTATCTTTTCTTCTATTTTCTAAATTTAATTAGTTCAACTTGTATATATATAAGTACGGTAAACTGGGGTTCCTTAGGGACTAAGGGGTTACTGCGTACTTGAGTTTTTTTAAAATTCGAAATCCCCTGGAGGAGTGGAAAATTGCTATATTAAGACTAAATCAAAGTTGTCTCAATATAAAAATGTTTTAGCCAGCCAGGTAATTTGGTATTCAAAATAAACTCTAGTATATTGAAAACCCGTAGCCCCAAAGTAATCCCGGTTTACTGTATATGTTTATTACCGATCAATTCTTCCCATAACCAAAATGTTCTGAGTAATCAATATTGTTTAAAAGTAATTAATTAAATTGCTATCAGATAAGCTTTGAAGACTAAAGTACATATTATAACCTTTGGCAAGGTATTTGCAATTTCCGAACCAAATTTCAATGGTTGCTTAATACAATTATTTATGAAGCTAAATCTTTAAGCTACAATTATTTTGCTTAATACAATTTGGCTTTCAATTATTAATTTACAGCTAAATCAATTTTTTCTGAGAAATGAAAAATAAAGAAATATTTAATATCTGTTAATCATTTTAATGGTTTCCCCCTGCCTACCTCGCTTTTTTGAGTATGTGGGTTTCTTCGGGGTAGGATAGAGGGCGGAGGATTAATGTCAAAGTTAAAAGCTCCTAACACTGAGACTCAAACTCGTAATCTTCATTTTATCACGTTTGCTTGTCCCCTGTATTTTAATGATTTAGAAAAGAAACAACGATAAATTAATTTCTTCACTTTGATATATTTCGAATGTAAGTTATTGCACTATTGTTTCTATTTCTATACCAGGAATCTATGATTCTAGAACCTTCGGGGTTTCATCAGATTTTGTATTGATTATTTTTGTAAGAGATCGAAGGATTTTTTATCTAAAAAATTTGGGACAAAAGAACAAATTTGATTTCCTATTTAATCTTTAAACATCCGACGATACTTTATGAGAAATTGTGTGTCATAAATAATTTCAAGAAACATTCCCGTTGTTTCGAGTTTCTTATATGGAACACCTTTTATAATACATGAGAGGGCGATATTATTTTCTGTTCAAAAACTAATAAATTGAAAACAAAGTTCTAAGATCAACTGTTTGTCTACAATTACATGTTCTAACAGTTTGGGTACCACTCAGCCAAAGGTTTATATGTTCAAGACATATGTATTAGACGTGATTGGACGGACTAAGGTCCTTGGTTTAAGCGTAACCCAAGACTTGTAAGAGGATTTAATGTTAATCGCTTGTCAAGATAAAGTCCTGGGTAGTGGATCTCTTGAGCAAGGATAAGGGTAAGGTTATTAATGGACCCAGCAGCCGAGGATGCCCTTGGTTTACCTTGGACCTTATATCTTAATTAATAATCTAAAATCATCTAGCGGTAAATATTAAAGGGTACTGATGGAGAAAATTAATTTATTATAGTGTCAAATTTTATAATTATTTCCTTGTTAAAAAGGCTACTGAACGATTTCATTTATTCCAACACAGAGTGGAGTAGTTCCTATTTTCTACCCTTATTCGATGGCTAATTGATGAAGTCGACTTCAGTGGCCAAGTAATAATTTACTAACTTTCTACTCCAAACTTTATTAAGTTCTTAATCCCCGAAAACGAAGTAGCAGTAAATCAATGTTAGTTTCCCGACCAATTTTATATATTGCCATCACATCGAGTTAGTTATTTCTGGTAGCTAACAAGTTTAACACTCGTATAAATCTGCATAAGTATTTAGTGAATTTCAATTTCAGATTCCAAGGTAGGCTTAGGATGACCAATAATTGTCATTTTTTAAATGCATAATTATAGAAAAAGTATCCTTTGAAGTATCCTTTTGACAGAGTTCAATTACTAATATCAATCCAGTCTTTGGCGGCATAAGAAATAATAAAAACATGAATTTTATATAATGCTATGCTCAAAGTAAAATAATTAAATTTAATAATCCAAACTATAAAGCCATGAATCTCTAACAATCAGCATGCCATCGTTTCGCCAATTCAGGTATCATTAGGACATAAAAAATAAGATCAGATATATGCAGAAATAAAGAAAGATAAAAAAAATTTAAAGAAAAAAAATGCTATTGACATCTCACCAAGCCATCCAAATACATACTGAAGGAAACAGGAGAGGAAAGTTACATAAACACCTGGTTAGCAGGGATAAAAAAATGTATATATATTCATACTTAAAATATAATAAATCAAAAATGTGTTAATATCACTAAAATAAGCAACCAGCTCGAAAACATATTTTTAATAACTCATTTTTGTATAATTATATTTTAAATATGAATATTATATAGTATAAAAATATTCTCCAGGTAGAAATAGCAGCAATAAATATGACAATCGAACCAGAAAAAATCAAATGTATGCGAATAGGAAAGAAACCCAGTAGAATAATGTGACAGTCATAAGAGCAAATGGAGAAAGATAAGAGTAGATCAATAATTTTAAATATCTAGATCTCAACGAAAATGGCTACATTGGAGAGTGAGTGTCTCAGAGAATTAGTGCTGCTGCAAGAGTGTACTTTTTGCTTAAGAGGGTTTTTCTAGGTAAAAGAGAAGAGACAAACAAGACAAAAATGACGTTCTATAAATTGACGGTCCTCCGTATTCTTTCCCACTCTTCCAAATCGTGGACGTTCACCTCGACACACAAGTCCAATCCAGTTCATGGAGATGCGCTATCCACCTAAAGTGGAAGGAAAGGTTCGAAGAGATGAGATAAGGAACTGCACCATACGAACTGGACTGGAGATCCAGCCGGCCTAGGTCATCATAGAGGAGCTTGAGCTAAGATGGTTCGGACACCTCCTTAAGACAGATGAAGAAAGAACTGCCAGGAAGACGTGCGGAAGGAAGGAGGCCAAAAGTGAGACATCTGGTCCAGACCGTACATGCGGTTAAGGTTGATGATGATGATGAAG